TGCAAAAAGCAAAGATCTGGAGTGGCTAATCCTTAGATTCAAAAATGAAAGTGAAAATTTGGATTGCACCTTAACATCAAGAAAACAAAAAATAATGATGACTGCAGAGAACACACAGGTCAGAATGCAGACTGACAATGAGACCATCGAAACAGTAAAGGAATTCAACTTCCTGGGATCTAAAATGGATCAATGTGGTTACCACATTCCTGAGATCAGAAGGTGCACAGCACTAGGCAGAAATGCAATGTCCAGCACAACTAACATCAGGAAGAGCAAAAACATCAGCCTCTCTACCAAAATGCAGACTATTCAACACAATAATTTTTCCAATTGCCATATATGGCTGTGAAACTTGGACTCTGAAAAAGGCAGATAGAAGGGTGAATGCTTTTGAATTGTGGTGCTGGAGAAGATTGTTGCACATCCCACGGTCTGCAAAAATCACAAAGAAGTCCTAGACCAAGTATCACCAAAAATATCTCTTGAAGCCAAGATCACCAAACAAAAACTGTCATACGTTGGTCATGTCCTGAGAGCTGACTCACTTGAAAAGTAAATCATGCTGGGTTCAGTGATGGAAGAACAGCAGAAAGTGATCAGTGGAAAAAGGAGAAGGGGCCATGCCAGTACCTATTGGCTGGACACCATAAAGAAAGACACTGGGATGGACATGACAGTCTTGAAGGAAGCAGTGCGAGTCAGGGAGGCATGGAGAGCAACGATCTATAGCAGGGGTCCTCAAACTTTTCCACCAGGGGGCCAGTTGAATGGTGCTGGTGCTAGGAGTGGGACGGAAAGGTGGTGCCAGCAGGGTGTGCAGGCCAGCGAGGGGGCAGAGGCAGGGGTGGCACGCTGAGACAGGGGCAGGCGCTGCAAGGGGAGGCAAGGCAGGGCGGGGGCAGCGCGTGCCCGTGGGGCAGCGGTTTGCTCGCTTGGGGATTGTTTTCTCCGAGTGAGCAAACCGCTGCCTCCCCACTCCTGCGGCAAGGTGGGCGGCAGGGAGCGCACACACGGAAGGTCCAAATGGGCATGGCAGGTCAGATAAATGGGCATGGAGGGCCAGATCTAGCCCCCGGGCCATAGTTTGAGGACCCATGATCTATAGAGTGGCCACGGGTTGGACACAGCTGAATGACTGACAATGATGACGATCTTTCCCAACTCTTTTCCCCATTTTGAGGTTTTCCCCAAGTTCCTTCATTGGTTTGCTCAGAGCAAACCTCTTTACAAACGTGTAACCTCCAAGTACTACACAAGGTGAGATGGAACAAGAATCAACACCACAGCACTTAGTATGCCCCTACCACAGGTAATATGAACAAGATGAAATTGATGCGATTCCCCTGCATGTTGCAAATTTATTTACAGAATGGAAGGGGAGCACTGTTTTTCAGTACCTATACGCTCTTCCTCAAAGATGTATCGAGACCAGAACAAAAGTGAAAATAGAAACTTTTAGGGCGTTAACTGCACTGTTAACTGTTAACTGCACCACATGGGATGAACCCTTTTGTTTTCCTTGCCGTGCAGCTGTATTAGAACTAGTGGCGCTATCATGAAATATTTGTGCATAACTTTCAAGTCCTATCAATTTCGGTGGGGCTCACTTCCGAGTAAACGAAAAGGATCACGCTGTTTATTTTTTTACAAGCATGCACATCGCCTTGCTTAACACTGCGAACGAGCGCAATTTATAAACACACGTTATTATTAAAACACGTCCAGTACTAAGCAGCTAGAGACGCCTAAGCTCATTCATTTCAATGGGCATGAGAAATATGGCGAACTTATCGAGCATCTAAGATATTCAGGACTGCAATTTCTGCACGCTTACCTGGGAGTAAGTCCCACAGAAGTGAGACTCGCTTCCCAATTAAGTGTGCCTCCCTCCCTGTCAAGCTGCCACCCATGTTAGCGTGGTTTCGCTTTCCTTCTTCCCTGGAGTTTATCTTCCCTACAGCCCTTTCCCTTGTCTTCGAAAGAGGGCAGCCGCATGAGGAAGAAAATCTGGGTCACCACACAGGGAAAGCCAGCACGTCTGAAATGCCAGCCCGGAGGGGAGGGGGGGTACGATGAGGCGCTGTAAAGTCCAGCGCCTGTGCGTCGCTACGCAGAACGAATAATAAGATGGCGGCAGAAAAGAGGGCGGCGACAATAGAAGAGACGCACTCTTTCAGTCTGCCGGCGCGCGAACGTTATAGTCCACGCCCCCTCTTTCAGTGCTGATTGGAGTAGATGGCCACCTAAGGAGCACGTGACCGGGGCCCTGCCTTTTTCTTTCGTTCCGCCCCTCCCCCCCCTTGCTGCAGTTAGAGCTCGGCGAACCCGTCCGTGGCTGCCGCTTCCGTGCGGGAGATCAAGCGCTCAAGTGGCATATCAACCCACTGCTTCGTGTGGGGGCTGTTGGTACCGGCCGTCGTCGACGGGCCCAGCCCGCTCGGTAAGTAGGACCCCGCAGAATGAAAGGAGTGCCGAGGGTGGGCAGCTTTCTAAACGGTACTTTCTCACGGGAAGGAAGAAAAGATCGTCTGTGCCTGAGGGAGAAAAGGGACAGGTTTCCGTTGGTTGGGAAGAAGCACCGTTCTTTTCCGCTCTCCTGTCTCGTGCGCGCTCCATTGTGTTGAGGAAACAAAATGGCGGCGGCTGGGCCAGGAGGCGGGAGGGAGGTAGAGAGTGGTAATGGCGCGCGGGCGGCTCAACGGAAAGTGGGCAATGGGTAGAGAGAGGTGAGCGCGCTGTTTTCGCCTAATGCTCCAGCCCCGCTTCCCCGTTCGCGTGTTTCTCACGTAGCGACGTCAGACGCCGCCGCCTCCTCTGCGTCGGGTGACAATAGCTTCTGAATACCTTATTGCTACCTGTTCGTCTTGCTCTCGTTCTCCTTGAAGGAAATAAGTTTTTTGGCCTGTTGGTGTGTGAGCCTTTCCGAACGGCGGGCTCTGACCTTCGCTTGGCCCTCTGGGCTCCCCATTTGTGGGGTTGTAGTTCATCGGCCTCTCGTCGTTCCCCCCAACCCCCCGTCATCTCGGCCTTGACAGGAGTACTCACTTCTGTCCTGGCTTCCCCCTCCGCGTTAGAACTTAGGCGATCTCTGCCTCCTTTTCTTTTATCATATGAAGGGTAAGCGTTGCCCAGGCGGCTCTTGAAACGCACGCCCTTCACACGTGGTAAAAATACAGTTGAAGGGCCCAGGACTCTAGAGGGCTTGTGTATATGCCATTCTTCTCCTGCAGACAGGAAAAAGATTTTTCACGTGGGGCCTGACGAAGTGTAACAGTCTGCTCACTTTGTGATGGGTGTCAGGGGTCGTCCTGTTGATGTAGGCATATAATGTTAGTTTCCCTTTCTGTAAGCAAAGGCAGCTCTTTTTTTGATTGTCATTTACTATTGCTGATTATTACTTAAGTCCTGTGGTATTTATCAACTTAATTCTTGTTGCACTATTTGGAACCAAGAACAGGGATCCCAAATGGCATGTTTCATTATAACCAAGCATGACCTCACGGGAGGAAATTGTTTTTTTTTAATAATCCAATTATTCATTTGTTCAGAAAATGATAATAGATTACACAATTACTGAATTAGTTCAATAGATGCAGCAATTTTAACTTTGCCATGTTTTAATATCAGTATTGGAAGCTGTGCAGTAATGCATGCATTGAACTTGGACTTACAGGAGATGTGTTTAACATATAGAATAGTATTCATTCAAAGATACTTTAGTATATTAATAGCTATATGGGATAGTGCTGTAGGATCCAGTGGATTTGTGCTTAACTCTTAGCTGAAACTTCAGCAGTGAAAATGAAATGTTACCAACTGCCCATTGTAGCAGTTTTTCAACAAGTACAACAGGGACAAAAATTTACCAGGCTCAGTGGCTGGAGCCTTCTTTTGAGATAGATGAGTGCAGCTTCATAAGCTTAACCAAAGCAGACACAAAAAGTTTAATAATAGAACGATGATGGGTTGAAATGGACTTTTATGGTCAGCTTGTATCATAATTTCTTGTAAAAGTTTTGCTGTCTGATAGTACTTGCATGTCATTGCCTTGAGATACATGCTAAGATCTCAAGACAAGATCTCAATAGCTGCAGAGCAGCAACATATTGTGAAAGGTGCTTCCAGTGTCACTGCTGCACCACAAAGCTCATATATCTAAGCAAGTAGAGTCTCTCTGGTTTAGCACTAAAGGTTGTGGAATTTGTGCTAGGTGGCTTGTTAGTTGAGAGAAGATTACATCTCATGGAAGAAAACAAGCTTACATTCTGTCTTTCAAGGACCCCAGAGTACTACGTGTGAGTTTCCAGTGAAGCCCTACTATATTTAGTTTCACAGCTGATGAGTTTTGATCATTTTTGAAAATAGAAGGCTCCATTTTAGATGTTTACATATTGTAAATGTGCCTGGTATGCATTTGCCATTCTTTTTATAATAAAACAATTTACTTTCGGCTCACATGCGACTTACTGCATTTCATAGTGGAATGGTATATCATGCTATAATGTAAATGTGTAATATTGTACTATATTGTTGTATATCTACAGGCTTTTCTGATACTGGTCATCTTTTTATTCTTCAGAGTACTAGAAACAGTAGTACTAGCATAACCAGGAAGACGTATATTTCTGGAAAACATCAGCCAAAGTTACAAAGCAAAAATGGTAAGAACTTGTCATGCAGAAGTGAAAGCCAGCTGCATGACTATTTGTTAGTTAATTTATTGTACGTTTTTAATTTTCAGCGACCAATGCGTATTTTTGTGAATGATGACCGTCATGTCATGGCAAAGCATTCTGCAGTTTATCCAACTCAGGAAGAATTGACAGCAGTTCAGAACATGGTCTCCCATACCGAACGTGCTCTCAAAGCTGTCTCTGACTGGATTAATGAGCAAGAAAAGGGCAGTAGTGAGCAGCCAGAACCTGAGTCTATGGAGACAGTAGCTGAAGAAGAGAACAAAGAAGGAAGGCAAGTGGTATTGCAGGACATCTGTTCTCAGACATTTGGACACGTTTCTCAAGTACTATTGCACGGCTAAATTAGTGGCCTTGATGTCCTCATTTTCTGAAGAAAAAATGCCATAGGACACCATAGGGCTTACTAGTGAGTAGAGATGTGTAGGATTGAAACCCACCCATTTGAAGGGGGATGGAGGGGGAGAGGCCTATGTCTTGCCCTCATCCATTATTGTTTATCTGAAGGACAAAACTTGGATTTCTATAGAGTGAGAAAGCTTGTGCGCTTCCTGTGTTTATGGTTCCAGTTGTTTAATTTAGCAGACTAGAATGTTCACAACTTCACATCAGTCCAGTCAGTGGCTTCCAAAGGATTTACCAGTATGACAAAATTGTTTAAAGCATAATCTTAGATGTGTATTGATAGTAAATCCTTTATTTTTATGTGCTTTACATTCACATAAGCACATTTACATTTTACGTGCTTTACATAGATGACTACAACTATCCCAGGTAGAGCAGAATGCAGTGAATATAGAAGTGAAATTGATCAGTATAATGAGCTCAAATTCTTACGATACAGATTTCAAATCAGGAAGAGAGCATACTTCATTATGCATTTGTAGAGGCATTAACTTGCTGGTTTAGAGTGTCAAGCTGAAAATTAATATAATTACAGTAGGGGTGGGCAGCCTGCAGCCCTCCAGATGCTTGGGCCTATTCCTTTAGTCCTAGTCTGCATACCCATTGTTAAGGTGTGATGGGAGATGCATGCCAAAAAATCTGGAAGACTGCAAGTTGCATATGGGAGAGGTTGAAAGCTGAGTGATTGGAATTTTCTGGAGAACTTTGAATTGGAATATGTTCCAATGCCTTGTGGCATTGATCTAGCCTACTAAACATAAATTTGTTAAATTAATTTTACATGCTGTATAATTATCAGTATTTGAAAACTTAATATTAATTTTTAAAAGACACTGAAAATATGCTGATTTTAAGTATTAAAAGACACTGTGGATAGACTTTTGTTAAAAAAATACATGCTTTCAGGGAACAGTTGACTGAAAAAATAACTTTGAAATTACCTAAATTGATTGGAAATGTATTAATCTTTTTTTAATGGAATAGTATCTTCTAATAGTAATGGAAAACTCCATGAAAAGAAATGCTCACATAGCTGTCTAATGCATAGTAAGGCAAAGAGAAGGCATTGTGGGAGATGCTGTAGCATAGCAGCTAAGACTGATCTGTGAAAGAAGAAGCCCTTGGTTCAGATCTTGTCTTTACTGTCAACTGACTGTCAGTGCTCTTTAATGTGGCTGCCTGCAGCTATTCAAACTCAGAGAATTACAGGCATCCAGGGGAGGGCAGAAGACACATGGAAGTACAGGTCAGCTCATTGCTTCTCCTTTTCTGAGAAAGACTTAGATGTCAAAGACTGTTGCCCCTGCACACGAGGAGAAGCTGAGGTGTTGCCAGGATGCATAGTATTGTAGCGAAGCTTCCTTCCCCAATCTCTCAAAACATCCAGAGTTGTCTTGCTTCGAGACTGGACCTCAGAATTGCAGCAGGCATGAAAAACTGTTGACTGAAAGAGCAGCAGGATGGCAGTTGGAGGACATTGCTGGGACTTTCCCCCCTCTGACCAGCCAGGCTTTGTCTGGCAGCCACAGGACTGCACCTTAGGTGACCTTAGGAAACTTAAGTGTTTTTAGCTTTTGTTTCTTCCCATTTTCAGTATAGGAGATATTAGTGACTTGTAAAGCAGCCTTTCGCATCCTGGTGCCTAGCAGATGTTTTGGACTACAACTCTCAGCATTCCTGACCATAGGCCACATTGCTGAGACTGGTAGGAGTTGGAAGTCCAAAACATATGGAAGTCGGAAGGTTTGTTGTAATGATTGCAATTAGAAAATACATATATAAAATTATCAGTTATAAAACTTCAAAGAAGTATATATACATGTTAAGTATTAAGACGGCTTCTGTTTTTTGAGTCTGGTTTGCAGATCAAAAGCTACTGCAAATGATGAAGCTGTATTGGGGTAAGAGCACCAGAACTATGGGGGACATTGAAATATGTGCAATAAGTATAAAATCTAAGTTAATAATGTAATACATTTGTACTGCTGATATATCTATGAAATATTGCAAGTTAGTTCCTATTTATTCAACAATGCTTAACAAATGTACCCTGTGTTGTAGGTGGAGCTGCACCAAGGGTGCCTATGCACAACTTTGTCAATGACATCAGCGAAGTAGAAAACAAAAGAAAAAATATGTGTTTAACCCTGAGTTAATTTATCTAAAACATATCCCTGAAATGTACTGGATAGATCAGAGTTGTACACTTGGATGTTCTGTAACATAAAACAGTAGAAAAATTCAGTATCACACAGGCTACAGTCCTATCTCTGCTCTTTTTAGTAAGACTTGGTAACCTCTGGGCAAAACAGTAATTCTCTGTATTTGTCACAATCCAATAGTCCAGAACACTGGTGTTCCCCAGTGAAGAAAGACTTTGCTTGGGACTGAACTGGAAGACACCTCCCAATTCTTTTGAGGCCAATCTTTATCCTGCCATCACAGTGAATGGATGCAGGCCTCTTGACCTGCTCACCTTATGGGGCAGGTAGTCTATGGGCTTAAAAAAGGTCTATGTCCCCCATAATCAAGGTCCACAAACAGTGCATAAGCAGTCAGCCAAAATTTGTGATTACTGTTGATTGGCTGTTCTTTCAAAAGAATGCCTTGTCACATTATGAACTTGCTTTGCTCCTGATGCCCAGTGCAATTCCTTCCCCATCCCAGAATGGAGAATGGGTAGATCAGCCTTCCCCAGCCAAATGCCCTCCAGCTGTTTTGAACCACATACTTTGTAATTCTTTATCATTGGCCATGGTGGTTGGGGCTAAGAAGAGTTGCAGTCCAGGACATCTGGAGAGTACTGGGTTAAGAGAGGCTCTCCTAGACCTTTCACTGAACTTCAGAGGGTCAAAAAAACTAGTCTTACTTCTTCTTTTCTTTAAGAGTCCTTGGAAAGGTTTCTATACTTTATGATAAGCCATCCTTTCTCAGCTTGGTTCTGAGAGGAGACATTTGCCACTTGGGCTGTAGAGTGCAGGAGGAGTTCTACTTGTATTTTTTTCTTGACACTAACACCACAAAGAATTGTGGATTAGAAAATTGCATATGGGGTTATAAAACCAGAAGTAACAATGGGATGGTCAGAATCTAATACTAGAGCATGATGTGCTGGGCAGTGAAATTTCTGAAGAACTCTTGGTTCTTAGATGTTTTGCGAAACCACTCAGTATTGTATTCAGTATCTTCCTTGCTTGCTGAAAAGGACAGCTTTCACAACAGGACGGCATATAAATATTTTAAATAAATATAAATAAAAGTTTGTTCTTGGAAAATAGAACAATAATACAGGAGCTGATTATTAGGGTACCTCTCTTTCACTAATGTTTGTGTTCAAATTTTTTCAGTGAGCAGAAGGCAACAGCTGAGCACTTGACTAGAACGCTCCGTGGAGTTATGCGTGTTGGTCTTGTAGCAAAGGGCCTCTTGCTCAAGGGAGACTTGGATCTTGAGTTGGTTCTCTTGTGCAAGGAGAAACCCACTATTGGTCTTTTGGAAAAAGTAGCTGAAAATCTTGGCACACAACTTGCTGTAAGTATGAAATGAGCAATTATTACCAAACATATTTGATGCCCTGAGTATATTAAGGCTGTTTAGATGTTACTGTACGTAGCAAATTGTGCTTCTGGGCTAAGTTGAGGGATTTGCACGCCAGCGGGTGTGGAAAATTCATGCTCTTGTTCCCACAGAGTTGGTCTAATTGAAAATACCATTAAGGGGTGGTTGTGCATTCTACTGTGATGCAGCTTATAGCAAGTTTGCATAGAGCATACTGCATGCATTGCCATTGTTTATCATGGAACATTAACATTTCTTGCAATCAGAGTATCCTCAATATTGGACAATTGGTAGCCTAATATTTTAGTAACAGCTAGATTCACTTGCCATTTTTTGCATCCTGTTCCTCATGCTGCTTTTGGTAACTTAGTCATGTGGATCTGTCTGCACAACATCAAGAAAGTTATAAATTAAATGGGAGAACCTTGTGATTTACTAAGTGGCTAGTTTGATATTTAAGAAACTATCTCCTATCCATAATTTTATTACAGTTTGTTTGAAATCTTAGCATGCTGCTGTGGATGCTTTCATTTGCTGTATAAACTAAATTTTTTAGGCAAATGGGAGACGTGGGTATGTGTTAGAGTGATCTGTGTGGTATGGATCTCTTTGAGGAATACTTGGACATGTGGTCAATTATCTTGCTGGCCATGGCAGTGTCTGCCCTGATTTTCACAGTACCCCTGAGAGGAGTTCCAGACAGCATAAGGAAAAGTTGAAAGTGATGCTGCTCCTTTCTCTTTTCCTTGGCTTTTTACCTGTCTTGCTTTCTCTCAGTTCTACAAGTGGAAGCAGTAGTGCCAAAAAGGCTTTGAGAAATGTGGGTAGAGAGTTGTGAAGTGATGAAAGATTCAGTTTCTGGGCATTTGGTCTTTTTGAGGAAGTTATCTATCCCTATAGTCACTGATACTAAATCAGTCTTGGATACATCAGCTATGGTGACAACAGATGAAATTGACTAAAAGCTTGAACTTAAATGTTTGAGATGCAGGTGAGAAAGAGGGAATTTGCAGAAACACTTAAGCAATTCTTTGTGTTTCAGGCTATTACTGAAGATAAATATGAAATTATCCAGTCTATCAGTGATGCTGCAATTGTCATTAAGAATACAAAAGAGCCTCCACTGACACTTACAATCCACTTGACATCCCCTGTTGTAAGAGAAGAAATGGAAAAAATGTTAGCTGGAGGTATGGAAGACTGAAAACTCTAACAGCCACAGAATGAGTTTCCACGCTGACTTTGCTGTTCAATGTGTACAATTGCTGTTTAGACAAAGCTATTTCATGCAATCAATATGAAGTATTGAATTCTTATGAATTATCACAGTGCTATGAATGACTGGATTATAGGCTTCTAGAATCTGAGTAGTACCTTCCAAATTAAAACACTTCTAATGTGTTGAGGCCTTCTTGTATGGCCTGAGCTTTTATGCAAGTGCATTTGTTTACTTGTGTGTAACAATGTTCTTCATCAAACTTTAATGACCAATATGGGTGTTATAAATGAAATCTAAAACCACTTAAAATAATGAAGTCTTAGTTTATATGACTTCTGCATGTTTATAAATTTGGATATGTTACATAAATAGTTTGTGTTGCAGTAAAAATGATTGGTGGCTTTTTGCTTTGGGGCTTTTTTGTAGGGGTGGGTTCAGACTGTTCAGCTGAATTCCAGAATTATTTGAAAGCTTTGGATAAAGTTACTCCATTCTTCCTTACATTCAAACATGCTTTGGGGGTCGTTCATATGCATGTGTGTAACAATTTATCAACCATAACAATAACTCGGCCTGATGATTTTCTGCTGAGTTCAAAGGAGGCAGTCCACACAATATTCAAGGTGATACTGAAATGCTCCAAAATATCTGTTCTTTGTGATGTGGCTATTTTTCATACATGCATATCGTCATTTGTTACAGTAATGAACTTGCATGTGTGAATTCATCCTTAATATTAAAAGCTTAATTTATGCCTGAATAAATACAGAATATTTTAAAGTAGGTGAATCATATATGCAACACTGAAATTTTGTATTTCAAAGGTTTGCACCAGCTTTATCTAAAACCCTGGCTTTTTTCCTATCTTCAGTTTTGCTGCAGCATAGACATGATAATTTTGTTCTGATTGTTTTATGGTTCTGATATCTGACTACATCTACCAAGCCTTCTAGTTTGTCGATTTTAGGGACGCTGGACCTTTGACCAACAGGACGCACTCTGTCATGGGCTGGGGCCAGGGCAGTCGAGCCTTGTGGGCGGAGGGAGTTCCCTTCTAGAAAAGATCTTAGTTATGTTCTACAGGATATAGAGTGGGAATCTAATTTTAACCTTCCATTCTGTTGGTTAGTGCAGTTTTATACTTTTTTTGCAGCCTGGTTAAAATAGTCTATTTGTCCTTCAATGTAGGATTCATTTCCTTGTGTAGAATGAGTTAGTGCCTCACATTGTTCTCCTTATGTAGTTGTTAGTTCATAAGGGTGAAAAAGTAAAGTATATAGAGGCTATACTTTCAGGTACAGGGCTATAGATCAGAGTTCTGGGAGCCTCAGCTGCCCTTTAGGAAACTGCCTCATCCCCTCTCCACCCGACAGAACCCCCTTGGTCAAACTGTACCTTGTCTTCTTATTCCACCCACGAATAGAAACGCTATCAGTCAACGACTCACCGGACGTTCTGGACAGGCAGAAATGCCTTGCTGCCTTGGCGTCACTCCGACACGCCAAGTGGTTCCAGGTTTGCATTTTGTTCTTATATTTGTCTTTAAGTAGAAACCTTGTAAGTTGTAATTGCCTAACTTCATTAAAAAGTTTTAATACTGGACTGTAGATGTGCAGAACTTAGCAGCTGTTAAATGCGCAGTTGCTAAAGAAGCACTTGAATGAACTTAGTTTTTCACAAAAAAAAGGAATAGCTGCCTAGCTGCTGCTTTGTGTTAAGAGTAAGTTTTCATTTCATAGTAATTAAAACTACAGAATTAAAAAGCTATGGATATGTAATACATAGTTTACCCTTGACAAAGTAGCACTACAAGAATTTATATTTTGTCTCACTTTGGTTCTGGTATTCATTACTTAGCCTTTCTTGCTTACTGTTTTGTTCTAGGCCAGGGCAAATGGCTTGAAGTCTTGTGTCATAGTCATCAGAGTGCTGAGAGATTTGTGCAGCCGTGTTCCTACTTGGGCTCCACTTAGAGGATGGGTAATCTCGCAAGTTACATTTCCATTTTAATATATGAGTGTGGAAAAATAGAATGGAAAGCAGTTCTTATTGTTAAAAATAAACTGGGAGAAAAATTAAGAAAAGCCTAATCTTTCCTAGGTTGAGTGTGGATTGTTAAACATTGATTGTTGGGTTGAAAGTAATCTAAATTAATTGTCTTTAGTAGGTTTCTAGGAGTAGTGGAGGGTTAGCAGTTGTCAAATAGATGGTAAAAGTCTTGACTGAGGTTGTAGAAAATCTTAAGTGACTAGAATATACACATCTAATAGCACCAAAATATTTTTGAATGGGCATTTAATACATAGCATTATCAGATTTTTAGGTGGGAATAATAAATGAGACATCATGGTATGAATTTGTCCAACACTCCCTCTAACCACATGTTCACACAAGTAAACAGTTCTGCTGACAGATGTGTTCATAAGCAGCATGGTACAAGTTAAATGGATTTTTTAAAAACTTTGTAGTAATAAAGACTGGGTTCAGACAACCTGCTGCAATTCATTATTACATCCAGAATGAGTAGTGGTGTCTATGGGAGTTAGCTTTAAATATGCAACTCCCACTTGGGAGGGTTGGGGGAGGCTTAGCTGCAAAATGTGGGTGACCTGATAAGCAGTAATGGCAGCACTGAGGATGGTGTGATGGAATTAGTTGGGTTGTACTGCTACCTTCATGAAAGATCACAGGAAACTACCAGTGCAGTCTTCTGTAAATAGGACCTTTTGTTTCTCTAGTGCCTTGCAGAGAAACTTCAGGAGAGAGGGCAGCTGAAAAAGCCCTGATAAATAAGTAAACAAAAAAGAAATACCTATCCAGTGATGGGTAGAAATGCCGTGCATTACAAATCATGCATCCAAGTGTTAGCTGTATTAGCTTTGAAGTCAGGAGGATGAATTTGATGCAAGGCAAATAAATAAGAGCCTTTGGTTTTATAGTAGATGAGAAACTCTTGCTTTCATGCAGAGAAGCACTAGAAGCCCATTGTAAGTTTCCAACTGGAGTTAAATACTTAAAATATTATGTGCTAGGGGTGAATGTGCTTCCCTCCAGGTTGCTGGTGAGGTTAGTAAAGATACAGTCTCTTTCATTTGAAGACTGCATTGGATGAGTTGTATGGAATTAAGAACAATAGGCAGGTCATCTGAGAACATTCGATATCCTAAAGCTTTAGACTGTATGGGGCTGGTCATATGGGGTTATATAAGGGTTAAACTGTCCTCACATAATCTATAGCCCCCATTTACCTGGTTTGCAAGACACACTGATTCTCCATGCCGAGGCTTTTTATTCAGTCTGATGCCCATGAATGCCACAACTTGTCATGGGTTAAATAACCAACAGTGAGAGTCAGTGTGTTATCCAGACTGGATCTTTAGGTTCTGCTTGCAAAGTTTAAAAATTTATTCTATTCACTGGTTTTTATTGTATAGAAAGAACACTGAGCTCAGTGTGCCAGCCAGTTGACAAAGCAGGGTTGTCCAGTTCTCTAGCTGTGTTGTGTGTCTCAACCAGATTATATATTTAAGTGACTAGTTGCTGATCTTTCAAACCAAGAAATAAATAGTAAAGAACTTACGTGGGCCTGAAGTTTACGAGGCCTATAAGTTACCTCATCAGTTCTGGTACTATTGACATTGTTTGGTCAGCAGGACTTAAATTTGCTAAAACCATTACTGAATGTTCGTTCTGTGTTTTTTTTTTTAAATATGAAATGTCTTTTCAGCCTCTAGAGCTGTTGTGTGAAAAATCTATTGGAACAGCCAATCGGCCAATGGGAGCTGGTGAGGCCCTCAGAAGAGTTCTTGAATGCCTTGCATCAGGAATAGTTATGCCAGGTTAGATGGTTCTTCACTTTTGAAAAATTTCAGTGGAAGTAACTGACATTTACTTTTATGTTTCCCAGTACCAGTTAGATGTGATCATTTTTTATCTGTTTGACTTAAGAGTCTGTAGGGCATGACAGCACATTGAGCGTGGACCCGTTATTCTACTTCCCTTAATGGGATATGACAGACTGCACAAGTTGTTTTTGGAGTATTTAAAGACTTTTCACAGGCTTGCCACATCACTGGGCTTAATGGTCCATATTGTAGACTAGATCAAATTACTGACCATTGGATCCAGAATTACAACTGGGCTGCTTACATTGGTAATCTTAGGTGATGCTAAGGGAATAATTGAGTCTACAAAGAGACCCTAGGATAATTCTCTGCGTATCTTCCTTGTTTCCTGCCTTCAGATGGTTCTGGTATTTATGATCCTTGTGAAAAAGAAGCCACAGATGCTATTGGGCATCTAGACAGACAGCAAAGGGAAGATATCACACAGAGTGCTCAGGTATAGTTTTGATTACAGATGTTACAAACCGCAATGGGTTCTTAATGATAGCTAGTCACCTCAATGAGGCTGGCTTTTATTTAAACAGAAAAAGGGTCCCATATAAAGAATGCAGGAGACTTTTGTTCGTCTGCCAGAAATGAGGTGTCAGGTTTTTAATGAGTAATACTAAATTTCCACTTTTTGCTAACATTGGTTTTCAGAAGTTTTCTGCTTGCAATCTTGGGACTGAGTTCTGTTTGACTAGTATGTGGGAGAAGCTTGGGAGCAAGTTGGGTGCTTTAGTAACACACATCCTATTTTTCTAGCATGCTCTAAGGCTTGCTGCTTTTGGCCAGCTTCACAAAGTCCTGGGGATGGATCCATTGCCATCAAAGATGCCCAAAAAACCAAAAAATGAAAACCCAGTTGACTACACTGGTAGGTTTTTAATTCTTGAGGAATTTTATTTGACTGTCATGGTGATAGTATTTTTTTTAGTTGACCACCTAAAATCTTATCTGCAGTCCAGATTCCTCCCAGCACTACATATGCCATCACTCCATTGAAACGTCCTATGGAAGAAGATGGAGAGGAGAAGTCTCCAAGCAAAAAGAAAAAGAAGATTCAGAAAAAAGGTATTGAGCTGGCAAGAGGTAGGTATGCTTAAGTTTTCCAGGTGCTTGGCTAAGACAGATATGTTGGATTCATGTTGATATGTAACTATAAATGAATGGTAGAAAACAATAACAGGTAGCAACTGCTTTGGCTATTTTTCTTGATGGCTGTATAGTTAGGACTCTTCACACAGAAAAACACTGTTAACATTCATGTGTAGGGACTAAAGATGTCAGTATCTGACAAGGTACTTCTTTTGTGCAGAGGAGAAATCAGAACCTCCACAAGCTATGAATGCTCTGATGAAGCTGAATCAACTAAAACCTGGACTTCAATATAAATTAGTGTCTCAGACAGGTCCAGTTCATGCTCCTATATTTACTATGTCTGTGGAAGTTGATGGTATCACATATGAAGCTTCAGGACCTTCCAAAAAAACAGCCAAACTGCACGTAGCAGTAAAGGTAAGGAATATCTATATGTGTTTTATCACCCTTAGGATTTATCTCAATTTGTGCTTGGAAAAGGTTCCTATATAGTCTATTAAAATAAAGTAATGTAATTTCAGATGTTCAAGGAAGCTTAACCATGATGTAGTGTGGGGTCTATACTGATAATAGGTGGTTATCATTGTTTAGCAAGCCAGAATCAGAAAAACATTATATAGTAGGTTTTTAATCAGTGTGGTTTATGTTCACTGTGACTTCGTGTCCTCAGAATTGAGAAACTGTAGTTAACAGCTTATAGCCACTTTACATAGAAACTGAAATAAATAACTTTTTAAAAGTTGGAAGCTGAAACAAAAGCAGATTCTGAATCATGGAATTAACCTTAAATTAGGAAGCTTATAGTATGGCTTGGATTCTAAACAATGGTTAGTGGAAACATTGTTTGGTTTGATACCCTAAAGTGGTACAAGTAATAGTGTTTCTGGCTATACAGTAGTAGTATTTCAGTATGTGTTGTACTGAAGCCTAAGGACAGATGACATTACGATGAATACATCTGTTATCTTTTACTTTTTAGGTGTTACAAGATATGGGACTGCCCACAGGTGTTGAGGGCAGAGAGAGAGGGGACGAATCAGCAGAGGAAACAGATCAGAAACCAGTAGCTGTTACTGCTCCTCCTATTGTGGAAACTGTTTGTACACCTAGTGCTGCTTCTCCTTCAGAACAAACAGAGGTGAACATTGCTTGCACATCTTTCATTATAGTTGTAGCCCTAACTCTTCAAGCCAAAATCACAACCATACTATAATCAGTGTCAAGCTTCTACTCTATTTTTAGAACCACAGCTGTGCTGCCCCCCCCCCCCGCCCCGGGTATTCTGATCTTCCTCCCCACTCCTGAACCCTCTTTTCCCACTCAATTACATTTTCTGTAGTCCTCAGAGAGCCAGGAGATTTCTCCTTTTTACATATCACTTTAAAACCAGTTCTAGTAAATTGTTTTCTAACAAGACTTACATTGCCAGTATCTCCATCATTGTCTGTCTAGATATGCAAAGTACAGTGGTACCTTGGCTCATGAACTTAATCCATTCCAGAACTCTGGTCGTGACCCAAATTGGTCGTGCACCAAGTCAAATTTCCCCATAAGTTTCAATGTAAATAAGGTTAATCCGTTCTGTGCCTCTTTTTTAATCACAAAAATTTGAAGCAGACGCACTGAGGGGGAGGCGGGCACAATCACAGGCATGCTCGGGGAGGCGGGTGCGATCACGGGCGCACTTGGGGTGAGGCGGGCGCAATCGTGATTGTCACCTAATGCAGAGTTCGCGACCTGAGGCAAAAATTTTCAGAAACTTCTGTTCGCAACCTGATTTGGTCGTGAACTGAGGCGTTTGTGAGCTGAGGTACCACTGTATGTTCTAGCAGTCAAGCTGCATTAGTCAGTTTCTGTAGTCTGCATGCATTGTTTTGCTCTGAAAAGTTAGGGCTGTGCCTGACCAGCCAGTGGGCAAGTAGAATACTCATCTCAGTAAACCCTTGATAAACAGTTTTTTGGCACTGTTTTATCTTGGACACCCCAAAATAAGTGACCTGCATTTGTAAATCGGAAGAAATCAGTGTAATGTTTTAACTTCTTAGAATGTGAAACAACAAGGACCAATACTGACAAAGCATGGGAAAAACCCAGTTATGGAACTAAATGAAAAACGGCGTGGCTTAAAATATGAACTGATTTCAGAAAGTGGTGGCAGTCACGACAAGCGGTTTGTGATGGAGGTGAGATGAATTGGTGCACAAAACTGCTTTCAGAATTGCTCTTAATAAACATAATAGCTTGGCAAGGTGCAGCTCCCTTTCTGAAACCTTTGCTTATCTTAAAGGTTGAGGTTGATGGCCAGAAATTCCAAGGGGCTGGTTCAAACAAAAAAGTGGCAAAGGCCTATGCTGCACTGGCTGCATTAGAAAAACTTTTTCCAGATGCCCCTCTTCCAATGGAGCAAAAGAAGAAAAGGGCCCCTATGCCAGCACGAGGTGGACCCAAATTTCCTGTGAAGGTAAGTGTGATTACTGACAGCTTCTGATGTTAGTTTAATGAAGAATACCTCTGCGGCCCTCTAAAGGGATAGTATTCCCCTGGAAGAGAAGCTTAGGTGCTTAATTTGAAAACCATATAGCACTGATTTGACGTTTGCTTTATCCAGCACAGTCTATTCATTATTACAGGTAGCCACTAGGTAGAACTTTAAGAGTTAACTTGGGAATAGTGTGAAGTAAGCAAGAAACAAAAATAAGCAACTTCTAATGGCTGTGTTTTCACTCATTTCAACAGCATAATCCAGGCTATGGTATGGGGGGCCCTATGCATACTGAAGTGCCGCCTCCTCCAAGTTTGCGGGGGCGTGGTAGAGGAGGAAATATCAGAGGTCGTGGTAGAGGCAGAGGTGGATTTGGTGGTGCCAATCATGGAGGCTATATGAATGCTGGTGAGTTGCATTGTTACTATCCATAACCTGTGAGGAAGCAATGATTAATAGTCTTGTATGTACAACTTGATCTGCTTTGTAACCTGCCTTATATATGAGGTTCAGTCTTCCATATAGTTACAGTATCCCATTTGAGATAGGAAGAACCCTAACACTTTTACAGGTTGAGGCTAATTTTACTACTGAGTTCAAGGTGGTCCTGGAAGATGAGTCCGGGTCCAGTGAACTGGCTCATTCTTTGCTCAAATGCTTCTATGCATACATTTTGTAAGCATATAAAATGGTCCACTAAAGTCACTATTTCTGTGTAACAGTGTCAAGTGAATAATACAATCATTTTGTTAACAGGAGCTGGATATGGAAGCTATGGCTATGGTGGCAATTCTGCAACAGCAGGCTATAGTAAGTGTTCATAAAAACACAACACTTTGGGGGTAGCAAAATTCAGTTCTATGTTACATAGTGCAATTAGGAAAAAAAATCTGATGTTAAAACCATCTCACTTATAAAGTTGACTTTAAAATTTCTCTGCTTTAAGCCAAGTGAAGCAATACACCAGTCTTGTTAAGCAATCTCCCTAAAGACAAATGCACAACTTTGTTTTGAAAGGCCTTTGTTGGGAGTGGGGGTGACGGGAGCAGAGAAATAAAAAATAAATTTTAAAAATGTGGCACATTTTGCCATTTTCGAAAATTCTAATTTTTTTTCCTCTGCTCTGTCTCCCCCTTTTGTAGGTGACTTTTTCACAGACTGCTACGGCTATCATGATTTTGGGTCTTCCTAGATCATCTAAAAGTATTGCACATAAAACAGCTTTTTACTCCAATTTTCTCGAACTCCAAAACCCAAAGTGTTCGTGCTGTGTCCCTGTGCTTCACTGGGTTTCTCAACAGTGGCTTTTCACCGCAGCTTGTCTGAAACTGTTAGCCTACAAGCAGTGGCAGTTTTTATTGTGACTTGCCTTTGGTCATATCGATGTACACTGTGGGGGAGCTAAATTTCAAGGAATGTCTGTGCATTATGCACAATAAGAGCACTTCTGTTCTGCTTACAAGCAAAAGGCCCCTGTTTGCTTTTTATGGAAAGCATCACTTCATTTTTAAGGAACATGCAAAAGTGTTAACTTTTTGTCTTAATTTACAACAGATTTTGTACAATACCTAACCATTTTAGTCCCCAAAAGAAGGTAGATGCCTCTGATAGAGACTTTTAACACTTTGGAATCTACCATAACGTAATGTTTTAAGCATGCCTATTGTTGACTTGTATGTGATATAGTACGTGCTAATTTTAATCTCTGCATCCTTTGTGCTTCTTGTATTGGTATAACCTGCAAGACCTACCTGATCAACAACTTTTGGATCATGTTATCTCTTAAAATTTGAATGGTTTAATTAGCGGCACTGGGCTTTTTGCAACTAAAGATAAAAAGCCTAAAGCCCTTTTCTGAATGGTTTTGGAGTCTTGGTGGGGGTGGCTCTTTATCCTTCCTTCCTTCCTTCCTTCCTGCTTTCCTTCCTTCCTTCCTTCAGTACATTTCTCCAAAAGAAGTGTGTAATGTCCCAGGAAATGAAAGCTACTGAACGCTGAAAGGCACAGGGAATGAACTAGTCGCTCAGATTTTTAATAAACTGATTGTTTGGTCCATTTTGGTTCAGTAGTTGTATTGAATATGTTTACCCTGCTCAGTGTTAACTAACATTTACCTTATTGACTTAAAAGTAGTGGGGAAAAGAAGATACATGTGAGTTAAGCTTTCACTGTGAGGCTTTGAATATAAGCTTAGTTACTAAATGTCCTTTTTTTAAGAGAAGTAGTTGAGTGAAAATTGCCATTTTTCAATTATTGCAATAATTATGTGGTGGATATTCCATTTGTTTCAAGGAGAGGTTGGATTAAGAAGTAGAAATTCATTTCCAAAAACCATATTCCAGTTTATGATTAAACCAGTAGTACTCCATATAGTGTCAGGTCCTCAGCAGTCAGTGGTTCTCAGAAGTGGTCCCTGCACATAGCACTTTTTTTAAGCAGGTTTACTCATAAATGAAACTGTTGTGTGCAGATAGAATTGAAGCAGAAGTCCCAGACCTTCATTAATATTTAGAATATTAAAAGGTCTGAATTTCAAAATGTTTAATATGTTTCATCATACTACAGAGAACTGGATAAGTGTCAGACTTCAAAGACCTTATTTTCTAAAATAGGATTTAGTGATGATATTTTAAACTCATACACATTAATTTATACTTTCCTGTAATAATCTTAAGCAGGCATAACCCACCTTTTTCTGGCAAATGTAAAAATACTAAATTTTCTGTAACCTGGGATTGAACTTAGAAACTGAGGAAGCAATCTTTAGTAGTTGTACCCAAATGACTCTACTTACTGTGTATACCTAGATAGCTTACTGTTCCTGTAAGTTCTATAAATTTTGTTCACTGCTTTTGCTTCCAGCTGTGATTATGGTTTCCTTTTGCATACTGGGAGATTCCTCCCCCCCCCAACCCAGGACTTCATTATTGGAATAAAACCTTAAGTAGAAGTATACTTTCCTACCTTCAAGTGTATAACTATTAGAGCTAAACTTTGGTAGAGGATATGATTTTATAGCAACTTGAGTAAGTGTTGGATAAGCGAAACTGAAACGGTAGCAATTGGTGTATTAAATATTCTTTTCCTATTAAATGCAGCTGCCTAAAGGGGCTGGTGTAATTAAATGTGTAGCATTCTAGATTTAGGCTTAAACTGATTTAAGAAAGAGACTACAACTATGGCTGGCCACCCTTGAGTCCACATGTGGGCTGTATAATGAGTGAGAGCCATGCAAGTGTGTGGAGAGTGCTATATCCTTCCAGCTAGAGCTATAAGTTGCATTTTAACATTAAGGAAACTGGGAGGAATACATCCCTGTTATGCATCTGCCAAGTGATTTGTTCTAGTCAGTGTTTGCCTAATCTGAGGGTTTCTGCCCTATTAATGCAGGGTGGGGAGCAACTTGGGGCAAGGCATTCTTGATAGTCACATTTGACTCTTATGTTCTCTTTAGGTCAGTTCTACAGTAATGGTGGTCATTCTGGCAATGCAGGAGGGGGCGGTGGCTCTTCTGGCTATGGGTCCTACTACCAAGGTGGTGACTACGGCTCTCCTGCTCCTCCTAAGCATGCTGGAAAGAAGCAGCAGCATGGAGGACAACAGAAGCCTTCCTATGGCTCAGGTTATCAGTCCCATCAAGGCCAGCAGCAGCAATCGTATAACCAGAACCAGTATAGCAACTATGGCCCACCACAAGGCAAACAGAAGGGATACAACCAGGGCAACTATGCTTCCTACTCAAATTCCTACAACTCCCCTGGTGGCGGCGGTGGAGGATCAGACTACAACTATGAAAGTAAATTCAGTGAGTGCCTGGTGGGTGGGTGGGAGTTGTGAAAGGCTTTAATAGTTCCTCACACTCTAAGAGCAATGTTAACACTTTTGCTTAAAAGGCTTTCTGGCACATTTGGTCCATAATAGGAGCTACTGTGATAACCGAAGGCATTCTGTTGCCTAATTAATTATTTTGAGCAGAGTGTTGGAAAACTTAGGTGTTTCTACTAGTTGAGTGCCGCACAGTCTTTCCACTGCTACTGGGGTGCAAAAGAATACAGGGGAAGTAACTGTGGTGAAAACCATTGAGCTCCCTGTAGATGAAGAGTTTAAAACTTAAATGCAATCCTCTGCCAGGGTTTCGTATGAATGTTCTTGATTCTAGATTTGTTCAAAGCAGTTTGATAAGATTTCCTTCAGTGTGCATTTTTAATTCCAGGTTATGGTGGCGGAGGTGGAGGCGGCGGACGTGGTGGCGCAAATAACTACGGTTCAGGAGGTGCCTCCTACAATGCCGGTGGCTATGGGGGAGGAGCTGGGGGAGGAGGGTCATCTTACCAAGGTAAGCAAGGTCAGTATAGAGTGAAATACGCAAACCTTGATATGTTTGCATATTGGTTAAGCTCCTGTACTTGGTAGTCTACAATTTTTGCCTTGCCTTAGAAGCCAGCTATTATCAGGAGTTTTGGTAGAGGTTAAAGAAATTCACAGTGGATTCAGATGGGTTCAGATTTTTATGAATCTGACCTGGAGTCTCCAGTAGGCCAGTTTTTCTAAGTCATGCAGATTCCATAAATTTGCAGACTGGTTTTTCACTTCTAGGGGTCATTTGCACTAATTTGCATTATTGCTAGGGAAAAGTGAGACACTTGCACATTAGCACTAATGCAATTTATTGTAAGTAGAATGGAAAACCTGATTCTTTCAATAAACAGGCATTGCAATGAAAGATGCTTGACAATCTGCAAAGCGTACAGGATCTGTGTATATCTAATTGTCTGATGTACCCACTCTCAAGGGCTTCTGGTACATACATCAAACTGGATTGGAGGTGCTTGTAAGTCAGTTGGCTCTGGAGACAAACAGTGAAAGTGCCTTGTACTGCTGTTCACTTGTTTACTTTTCCAAGTTCTCATGCAGTGACTGACACTGCCCCTCCAGTTCTCCTGTGCATACCGCATGCATACAGGGAAGGAGCAATGCTTGTGCATGATGCAGTGAAGGATCCAAAGTTCTCTGAAATTCACTCAGTTTCACCCAATCAATCTGAGTATTTTGTGTATGATAGTTGGAACTACATTAGCAAAGAAGCAGGTATAGTCATGTATTAAAGTCACCCATCCCCCCCTTTTTTCTAGGTGGATATTCTCAGTCAAACTACAACCCGCCAGCTTCAAACCAGAATTACAGTGGACCTCCCAATTCCTACCAAGCCCCCCAACCTGGCTATGGCAGAAATGACCACAGCATGAACTATCAGTACAGATAAATTAGTCTGTTCTTGGTGGGTGTGAAGCTTTTATCTTCTAAACTTGCATACCCTTTGGATATTGAGTTTATTGCATCACAGTAAACATGTAAACCCCGTTTCCATGTTGCCGTGCTCTTTGTGATATCAGTCACTAATGGTTGAGTACCTTGTAATTCCATACTTAGCTGTATTTTGAACATTTAATGGTGTATTTAATGGTTTGTTAGTTTGCCATCTCAACTTTTTGTCTAAATAGAATTTGAGTTAAGTATCCCTTTTCTGTTTAAATGACATTCAGGTGTCAAACACAGCATGGCTTTAAATAGATGAGGGATATTTTCTGCTAATGCTTTTGTGAAGTGAGTTTAAACAAGCTTTCTGTATTTTAATGCTTTAGTGTTTTTCAGTTTTATAAGTGAGGATTTTATTTTAAAATTTGTGGGAAAGAGTGGGTTTTGTATGTCTGGGTCATTCAGACAGCACATCTGGATTATGCTGAATGTAGACAAATAAACACAACTCTTCATGTGTCTGTCTGGATTTTTGTCCTTCCCAGATCCCATTTCTTAGCAACCTGGGTGCTTCCTCAGTTTTGGGAGCAAATTGTTAGGTGGTTGTATTTTAATTTCTAGCTGAAGCATATTAAAATATGCTTCCAAAAGGCCAAATAATGCAAAGCCATAACTCTATCTATCTATCTATCTATCTATTTATTAAAACATTTTTATGCCGCCCCATTCGCCAAAGCCTCGTGGCGGCTTACAACAATAAATAAAACCACATAAATTAAAATATACATATAGAATAGTAATAATTTAAAATACAATATACACACAATATAAAATAAGCCGCCCTGGCCAGATAAAATTCAGTAGTATTAACATTTAAAATGTTGCTTAAATAAAAAGGTCTTTGCCTGGCGCCGAAAAACAAATAACGACGGCGCCAGGCGGACCTCTCTGGGGAGCGCCTAAGTTATGGAATGCGCTCCC